GAAAACCCTAAAAACATGCATTTGGCGTGGGGCCGCGAGAGGGTGCGTGAGCATAAACAACGGCAGCAGCAACAGCATCAGCATCAGCATTATCATCAGCAACAACAACGACAGCAGCAACAGCAGCAACGACAGACATCAGCATCAGCAGCAGCAGCAGCAACAACAACAACAGACAACACCATCATTAGCGACAACAGCAGCAGCAGGAGCAACAACAACAACAACAGCAACTGTTACTTCAGCTACAACCACTACAACTACAACATACTACAGTTGCAACAAACACTGCGACTATCACAGCCACTGCACCTACTACAACTACTACAGTTACTGCAGCTACAACTACCACCGCAACCACAACCACAACTGCAATTACAACAGCAGCACAGCAACAACAACAGTTCTTACTGCCGCTGCCACTGCTTCTACGACGACTACTGCTGCTACTGCTAGTGCTGCTACTGCTACGGCTGTTGCTTTTCGTGTTTGGGGCCGACAGGCCTATCGAGAATGGGAGCTGCACTACCTCAGACGGCTCGCGATGAGAGTGTCACGGCTGCACTAAGGGAATAGGGTTTAGGGTTTTCAGTGTTCCTTGGTCCGTGTCCGGCTTTCAGTGTTCGAACTCCTTGGTCCGTGTCCGGAAGCCTCCTTGAGGTGCGTTGCTCATGTTGTCTGGTTTTGTCCTGGCAAGCACGTCCGCGGGCGAAGCCCCCCTAAATCCTGAAAGCATCTTTTTCCGAGCCGTGGAAGCCCTTCGCAGAGGTCTTAGTGAACTTCACGGCACCACACACGAAGATAAGAAGCGTAGCTGCTGCTGCATTCAGCGATCGCCCAAGATCCATCGGCTTCTGACGATGGAGCTGGATCGCAGCGAAGAGGCCGGCAGCAGCTATGAGCAGCCCATGCGAGTGATTTGTTGAAGGGTGGAGATGATGTCGAGCTGAGGTAGCGGCAGGCGGTGTTTGTCAGACATGTCAATTTCAATTCAAAGGGCCTATCGCCTTTGTCACCATGGGGGTCTTGAAGCAGTTGTGTTCTGAGCTGAAAGCCAAGCTGGGGAGGCCTTGTTCGTCCAGCACGATGCCAACTTGGACGGTCGTGTCCGTGGAGACGAGGCCACCAAGTTGATGCAGGCCTGCGGCCTGCGCTCTGTGTTTCTCCCTCTCTCTCTCCATCTCCCTGAGCCGCTTTTATGATGTTTCTTTGTGGGACTGCCAGCGGGATGGCGGCTCTGCTACCAGGCAATCGAGGATTGCGCACCGGGCAGCCTCACCGAGAGCACTCCACAGCGGAAGGCAGGAGGTTATATTATATATTATATTACGTTATGTTATATTATATTATGGGTGCTTCAGGGAGGAAGGCTCTGTTTTGCTTCTAAGAGAGCGCCTGACGGAGGATGGTTCGATCTCTCTGGTGTCGCTGCTGCGGTGGTACACCGGCTCGAACGGATCTGAGCATAAGGCCGGGAGAGTCTAAGAGACTCATGAAAGCTGGTCTTCTGGTGGGATTGTCATCTCTTCTCAGATGCCTCGGGGAGGCTGCCTCCTACAGCTTCAGCGCCGCAACGCTCCTCACCGGTCTTCTCGGTTCTGGAGTCGTTGGCTGCGACGCGCGGCTTCAGGCAGGCGCCGTTATCAAGACGGGAGCCGAGTGGATTCGTTTTGGTTCAGCGTTTAGGGGGCAGTCTTGACATGTGACTGTGTCTATGCCAGGCGCTGGATTGGCTGTCACTGCGGAGAAACGCTTCCAGCTGAGTAATTCTATCGACGAGGCATCCAGACTTAGAGTGGCAGCTCGGATTATTCCCCAACAAAGAGCTGCAAGGTTA